AATACATGTAACATAAAACTTGCCATTTTAAGTACATAGTTCAAGTGAAATTAAGTACATTCGCATTGTTATGCAAACATCACCACCATTCATCTCCAGAACGTTTTTCCATCTTCCCACACTGAAACCCAGTACCCATGAAAGTAATCATTTCTTCTTTAAATGTTTGATAGAATTCACCAGTGAAGCTATCTGGCCCTGGGCTTTTCTTGTGGAAAGTTTTTTTTTAAATATTGCTAATTCAATTTCTTTGCTTGTTATAGGTCTTTTCAGAGTTTCTCTTTCTTCTTGAGTCTGTTTCCTTAGTTTTGTATATTTCTAGAACTTTGCACATTTCATTCCAGTTATCCAATTTGTTGGCATGCAGTTGTTCATAGTATTCCCTGGTAATTCTTATTTCTGTAAGGTCTGTAGTAATGTTCCCTCTTACATTTCTGAGTTCATAGTTTGAGTCTTCTCCTTTTTTCTTGGTCATTCTAGTTAAAGGCTTGCCTGTTTTAATTTTCTAAAAGAATCAACTTCTGGTTTCATTGATTTTTTACTATTGTTTTTCTATTCTATATTTCACTAGTTTATCCTATAGTCTTTATTATTTTCTTCCTTCTACTTGCTTAGGATTAAGGTAGAAGTTTAGGTTTTTAATTTGAGATATTTTTAATGTAGACATTTAGATATATAAATTTCCCTCTCTAAACACTGCTTTAGCTGCATCCCACAAGTTCCAATGCAATGTCATTTTAACTCACCTCAAAGTATTTCCTAATTTCCATTATGATTTTTTTTTTGATTCACTGGCTATTTACTAGTGTGTTATTTAATTTCCACATAGGTATGAATTTCACAAATTTATTTCTGTTATTAATTTCTAATTCATTATGATCAGAAACATATTTTGTATTATTTCTATTATTTTCAATCTATTGAAGTTTGTTTGTAGTCTAGCATATGACCTATCCTGGAAGACAGTCCATGTGTGCTTAAGAAGAATATAGAGTCTTCTAATGTTGAGTAGAGTATACTGTAGATGTCTGTTAGGTCATTTGTGTATGATGTTGCTCATGTCTTATATTTCCTTATTGATCCCTACTTTGTTTTCCTATACCTTATTTAAAGTGAAGTGTTGAAGTCTCAAACTATTATTGTTGTATTTTCTCTATTTCCCCTCAATGTGTTAGCCTGTGTGTCATGTATTGTACAGTTCTGTTCTTAGGTACATTTATGTTTATCATGGTTATAACTTCCTAATGAATTAACCCTTTTATCATTGCTAGCTGTCTCTCTTATTTTTATTACATTCTTTGTCTCAAAGTCTATTTTTTTCTAATAGTATTGTAGCCCTCCAGTTTTCCTGTGATTGCTATTTGCATGGTATCTTTTTTCCATCTTTTTACTTTCATCTTGTTTGTGTCTTTGGTTCACAAGTGAGACTCCCATAGGCAATATATTGTCAGATTTTGCTTTGTATCCAATCTGATAGTCTCTGCCTTTTGATTGGATTGTTTAATAAATTTACATTTAATGTTATTCTTGATACAGGTGGATTTATATCTACCATTCCCTTTTTATCTTGGATCTGTCATGTCTTTTTTTCCTCTATTTCTCCCTTTTGTTTTAAGTGAATATTTTCTAGTGTACCATCTTAATTCAGATATGATTTTTTCACTATTTGTTAGAGTTATGTCCTTAGTTGTTGCTCTAGGGCTTGCCATATACATCTTAACTTACCAGAATTTACCTCAAGCTGGGCATGGTAGCTCATGCCTATAATCCCAGCACTTTGGAAGACTAAGGTGGGAGGATTACTTAAACCCACAAGTTCAAGACCAGCCTGGGCAACATAGCAAGATCTCTACACAAAAAGATTTTTTAATTAGCCAAGTGTGGTGGCGCATGCCTGTAGTCCCAGCTATTTGGGAGGCTGAGGTGAAAGGATAGCCTGAGCCCAATAGATCAAGGCTGTGGTGAGCTATGATTGTGCTAATGTATTCTAGTCTGAGTGACAGAGTGAGACTGACTAAAAAATAAGTCATATTTATACTAACTTAATTCTCACTGGAATTATTGTGCAGGTACCCTTGTTGTTCCAGTTATTCCTATATGACTCTATTTCCTTTTCCTCTTTTAGTGCTATTATTCTTATATATTAGAAAACTTCTCATCCAGTTCCTTCTAGTTCAGTGGGCAGATCTAGCCTCAGAGAGAGCCTGGGTTGCTCATATACTGGCTGTATGTTTTTGAGTCTCAGTGCCCTCACCTTTAAAATGGGGAGAATTGGGTCAATTATCTTCAAGGATGAAATAAGCTCTTAGCACTGATCCTACACATAGCAGGAGCTACACTGAGATACCACCTAACTCCAGTCAGAATGGCCATTCAATAACTCAAAAAATAACAGATGCTAGAGAGGATGTGGTGAAAAGGGAACACTTCTACACTGTTGGTGAGAGTGTAAACTAATACAGCCTCTGTGGAAATCAGCATGGCGATTCTTAAAAGTTCTAAAAATCGGCCTTCCATATGACCCCTCAATCCCCCTACTGGGAATATACCCGGAAGAACACAAATCACTCTATAAAAAAGATACCTGCACACTTATGTTTATTGCAGCATTGTTTACAATAGCAAGAACATGGAACCAAACGTGCCGCCCTTCAAAGGAGGACTGGATTCCAAAAATGTGATATGTATACACAATGGAATATTACACAACCATAAAGAAGAACAAAATCATGAACTTCGCTGAAACCTGGATGGAATTTGAGTTTATAATACTGAGTGATCTTTCACAGAAACAAAGATCTGAGTAGCACATGTTCTCACTCATAAGTGAACCTTGAACAACTACCATAATACTATAAGAAAAGGATTGACAGTAGCGGGAAACTGTGAGAGGTGGGCAGGGAGGTGGGATTCACAGTAGTCGATATCTGCCTGGGGAAGCGTGGGCACATCACATCAACAAGGGTACCTGCACAATGAATATTTTGTATACCTAACCCTGAATTGTACCCCACAATTAAAAAAAGAAAAGAAAAGAAAACACAGGGCTGTGTTTGACCCTCAAAGAATCCCAAAAATCCACTTACCCCAGCGTTCTCACATCAGAGAGCCAGGAAGCATGCTTGCCCAGACAAAGCCATGGGGAGTTCCTTCTCTTCAGCACATGCCCATCCAGGGCAGCATCTTACAGTGAACTTAAATAAAGGTTTGGTTCTCAGGCTGGGATGACATATTGACCCAGAAAATAGGGCCTTCAGGCCAGGCCATCCTGATGAAGGGGTTAGAAGGCTGCAGAGGCCACCAGCGTGGACCAGAACTGCCCTAAAGACATGTTTCTAGGCCCTGCTAAGGTCCTGAGTTCATCACCACCTGTCTCTGCAATAGTCTGAGTGTGGTTGAAGCTTTTGGGGGCAGTTCTAAGAAGAGACAGGAAGGGAGAAGAAACCACAGCTAAGTGTTCAGCCTCTGATTGGTAGACATCCAGGTCCTCACCCAGAAAAAAAGCCCTTCTGCAGCTACTCAGGCAGTTAGCCACCCAAACTCTGCTTGCCTACTACCCAAAACAGAAGCCTCACTCTCCTGAGGTAGCTCAAGGCCTCTCCACCATTTCCACATCTGATCTCAAGCCTGGAGTCACTCACTCAGTGCAGGCATTGGGCACCTCTGGTGCGCCCAGCCCCATTGCTGAGTTTGAAGACACAACGTGATCAAACTCAAGTTCTAGAAATTGCAAATGATCATCTGCAACAAATGCAAAGCAGAGGCTTGGGCATGCGCTCTGGGAGAGCAAGCAAGGAGACCTCTCTCAGAACAGGGTCTAGGAAGGATCAGACCTCCTCTCATGCTTGCCCCTGACCCTATGGTTCACTGAGTGTCTGAAACTGTCCAGAGATTAGACTGGTAGCCTCAAGAAGAGCTTGCACTTAGGGCAGGGGATGCTGGAGAGTGAGCATTCGACTTTGAAGCCAGACCTGTGTTCTAGCTTGGCTCTGCCATGGAGTAACTGGGCAAATGTGGGCTGGCCACTTACCAGCACTGAGCCTCAGTCCATACATCTGCAAAAGGGAAAAACAACATTCCTCTCCAGGCTGAGTTGGAGTGAATTAAATGATACTCCAAGGCACTCACTAATGCAGAGCTGGCTGTCATTGAGACAAGCAGTGGGTACCTATGGCTGCTCCTGCCTGACACCTCCCCAGGACCCTAGCCCCTAAGGACCTGTCCTCTTTTCCTGTGGTAGGACAAAGCCACAGGAGCTTACTTCTTAGGACCATAGGGCTCTCCAGGACCCAGCTGTTAATCCCAGAGAAGGTCCTTGCACCCTCCCCCTGCTTCCACCACACCACACTGCCCCCCTGGAAGTGCCCTCCACCTCTCCGTGCCTTTGTCCTGCCTAAAATGCCTCTTTCTGCCTTTCCTGAGCTAACCTATTCTTACCCTCCAAGATCACATCGGCTTCATCTCCTCTGGGAGACTTTCCCTGATCTGATCCAACCCCCAACACATCTGGGTCAGATGCAGCCAACAGCCTCAGGCCTGCCTGAATGATACTCTGTCTCCCTGCACATCCTCCCTTCCTTCCTAAGACATTGGTAAAGTCACATTGACCTTTCAACTTCATGTCTTAGTGGAGTAGAGTCCTTGCTTAGCACTGAGAGTCTTGGAGTCAAGCCTCAGTTCTGCCACTAATTTGCTGTGTGACCTTGGACAAGTTCATCGCCCTGTCTGAGTTTTCCTTTTCCTATCTGTGTGTTAGCTGAGCTCCTGGAGCAGAGGTGGTCAGCCCCTGCCACCAAAGACTCCTACAGGCAGTGGGGCAAGGTGCTGCTCTCCTCCTCCCTCACAGGAGCAGCCAGGATAGAATGTATGTGCCTGACCCAAGACTGTCCTCCATTTATTTAAAGATAAAAGAGTTCACAGAGTGGCAGGGGTGGAGGAGGAAGGTGTGTGGCAGGCCTGGGCCCCAGCTCAGTGTCCTCTCTCTCTGTCCACAGTAGCACGATACAATCGCACCAGCTACTTCTACCCCACATTCTCAGAGAGCTCAGAGCACAGCCATCTGTTGGTGTCTCCCGTGCTGGTGGCGAGTGCTGTCATCGGTGTGGTCATCATCCTCTCCTGCATCACCATCATCGTGGGCAGCCTCCGCAGGGAGAGGCAGGCCCGGCTCCAGCGGCACCGCCACCGCCACCGCCGCCACCACCACCACCACCATCACCACCGCAGGCGCCGACACCGAGAGTACGAGCACAGCTACGGTGAGCTGTCACCCACCCTGGGACCCTGCGACTCCCATCTGATGGAGGCTCAACCTGGGAGGCATTAAGAAGGTGGCAGTTCTGCCACGGGTGGGGCAGAGTGGTCAGGGAAGGCATACTAGAAGTCTTGGGTGATCAGGAAGAACTCACAGAAGCCCACCTTAATGTTCTCAGTGACATGAGGGGCCCCATTGTCCTCCAAGATAGGAACTCAGAGTGAGGATGAAGCTCAGAGGGAGAGTATGTCAGCAACCCCCAGGCCCTGCTGCCATTGGTCCTGGCTGTACCAAGAGCTGGTCCAGGTAGTGCCTGGAGGGAGGGACGGAGGGATGGATGGAGAGATGGATAGATGGGTGGGTGGATGAGTGGATGCATGGAGAGAAGAATAAATGGGTGGAAGAGGGGATAAATGGATAAGAATCAGGAGATGGATATATGGGGGGCTGATTGGAAGGATCAGTGGATGGATGGAGAGATGGAGGGGTGAAGAGATGGATGGATAAATGGGCAGATAGAAGGATGGCTAAATGGAGAGGTAAATGAATGGGGGAATACAGGGATGGCTAGATGGGTGGGTTGAATGGTATGTCTGAGAAGACAGATAGAAGGAATGAGAGGAATGGACACATGGATAGGTGGGGGATGGGTATATGAATAAGAGGATGGAAGGATGGATGGACAGATGGATGGATGGAAGGACGAGTGAATAGCTCTATCCCCTGGCAGCCTGCAGAGTGCAAATAGAACTCATCTGAGGGTATCCCAATTATTAGAATTGCCCTTAAACAGAACTGGCAACTCATTCTTGGGTAACCAGTCCCAGAAGTGTGCCTCTGGCCAGAATGCCTAAACTTTTTATGGAATGGCAGCCACCTGACTGTCTCACTCCTGGAAAGGCCCAGTTATCTAAAAGCAGCAGGAGGGACCTCACAACTGCGTTCAATTCTCAGGCAATTTTCAGTGTCAAAAAGTCAGACCCCTCTCTCTGCAGGAGCCTGCCATGAGATAGGAAAGAGGAAAGCAGGGCCATGGAGCTGCAAAACTCCAGGTGGCACCCTTCACACTGTGGATGAAGTGACGGGAGCCTCCTGGGATCCAGAGCCAGGACAGGACCTGGGGGAACTTTCTCCCTCTGGGGCATGAACAGCTTGGGGAAAAGAAAGGAAATGTTTTGTTTTGTTTTGTTTTTGAGTTGGAGTCTCACTCTCTGTCACCCAGACTGGAGTGCAGTGACCCCTCCTGTCACCGCAGCCTCAACCTGCTGGGCTTCGGTGATCCTTCCGCCTCAGCCTTCCAAGTAGCT